AAAGCTAGAAGAGATTAAGCACATGACCATGGAAAAAAGCGGGAAAACCACATGACCTTGGAACATTCTGGAATATTGGGGGCTCATTATATAAAGGCACTCCGTGAATATATCCTCCACAGTTGGTCAGAGTTGGCCAACGGGCTCCCCACCCTCCTTTCCTTGTCGCAAGGCACTATATATGTGATTTGTGTCACCTTTTCTATAGAAAAGGGGGACTTATTGATAGAATTTTCAGATAGCTGAAGTCCTTAACCCCTTGGTGCTGGCGCCTCCCGGCCCTTTAAGGCTTTCAGAAGCTGGGAGGTGGGGCAGGGTTTAGGGTCATGTGACCGCCGTGACACGCCATCATGGTGGTCACATGATCGGGAAAGGTCCCGATCGAAAGAGGAGATCGGGACCTTTCCGTGAGTACCGAACATGTGTGCTGGGAGTGCGCAGGGTGCGCGCTCTCAGCACATATGTTCTTTTTTAATAGAACGCAAATATGCCCAGACGCCGGGAGGCCACACATTTGCATTCGGTCAGTGTGAAGAGGTTAAAGACTGAGCAAGTTTATTCATGATTGATAATTAAAGTGTAAGATGTTTGAATAAATTATATTGCAAATTTAATTTATATTATGTGTAATTGCCAATAAAAGTGCCGCGGCCAAAACATTTTATGCCAAAAAAGAAATGTAGTGTGTGTGTCATTTTTTGAAATTAAATTATGGTTATTCGGGGAAGAGGGATAAAGTGCGGTCTGCATTCCCATGTATTCTTTGCCAATCTTCAAAAATCTTGCTGTTCTATTTACACACATTTCAACCTCGCTTGAAAAGACAGTACATTTGTCTGTTCAACTTGTATAATTGCATTTTAATTCAACCTACAAATAAAGATTGCATTTTAATTTCACCATAAAAAATTGAAAAATAGTTTGATCTTTTCAAAATCTAAATAAAGAAACAATTGGTTCATTCTATGTGTGCCCACTCCTGGCTTAACATAACAGTGAATAGTTACATAAAAGTCAAAACAGTAAATTCATCTTATTGTAATTTTTTTCTTTTCAACCTGCTAAATTCAACTTCTCTATTCTCACCTATGAATGCTCCAGATTTGCTGCTTGTCTCTACCTTCTACAAATAAAGCTTCTTGAAAAAGGAAAAAAAAAAGGCCACTAGGCAGGCGTGACAAAAGCCTCCAAAAAAAGAGAAGCAGCAGCTGCTGTCTGGATGAGGAACACTGACATTGTCTGCCTGCAATTCTAACAGTGCACAAGCAACCGATCCCAGGATCCGCACAATCACACAGCTGGAATCAGCAAATCCACCAGGGAAACAATTTCTGCATTAGACGACCATTAAAGGTAAGATTTTATTTCTATTTGTGATTTTGGAATGAGTTGTGATCTGTGATTGTGTCATTTGTATGAATGTGACATGCATCCTGGTTCCTCTATAGATGGATGCATTGTGCAATTACTGAGATTTACAGCCAAACGTGGGCTCATCTTAATAAAAAGACACTGCACTCATTTGAAGACTTCCTATGACATTGCATTAATAATTAATCGTGTTATGTAAGCAATGCACAGCATATGTCCTGGCTATAAATCCATAATTATCCAGCTCACGGGGAGAGACTACTATTCTCGTTAGATGATAGCGAGGGTGGCACGTTGTACAGATCACAACTCTCTAGGTTACATTTCAGTGATTAATTGCAGCCAGGCGGCTTCACGCTAGGCTAAAAATCTGAAGTCCTCCTGGTGGATCATTAATTATTAAAATTGTGCAATGGCCTCTTTTGTAGCATGTGTACAGAGAGAAAAAAAAAATCCAGCTAGCCATTGGTTCATAGGACGGGTACCATGTAGGCCATGCACTGTTGCCAGGCAACAGCATCTGCCTGATCTTAAATTACAGATGCCTAAGAAATGAACATGCACACAGCCAAGGGAGCGGAATGGTGTACTGGAAATAAAACAGATCCTGCAGTTCTTCCTAAAAGTCTAGGTGTGTATTCACTGTCTAGGTGTTTTTTCAGATGATCTATTTTCCTGCCATTAATAAACTCCTTGGCCCAGATCAGAGATGCTGGAAAGGAGGCAGGATCTGCCCAGACACTGAAGTGTGAGGTTTGCTGAGCAAATCATAGATGAAATGCTTGAAGCAGGTTCTCTGACTTATAGAAAGTAAACTATAAGGGCTCATGTACACGGGACGTTTGGAAAACTCTTCTGAATGATGGAAACTGACTGCTGATAGGTTAAAAAATGTCAGTTTAGCCACGTTTGCATACCGCGTTTATGTGCGTTTGCGTTTAGAAGCGTTTTTAAAAGATAACCTCAGGAGACCTTCCCAAATGCCAAGAATGCACTGAAAAATAGTAACAAATTAACTTTTTCAGACATTTTGAGAGGAATAGAGAGAGCAGAAGCAGAGAGAGCAGTATGTGTTGAGATTACCCATCTTTTCTGGTTGTATTCACTATGGATCCCATCATGAGCATAATGCAGCACGTTCTACCATTTTTTCCTTCACGCATAACCTGGAACTGACTGCACTGGTGTATTAGGTGCTTTTGAATACATGGAAAACACTTTACATGCATTTCTGATGATGAAAAAAGGCTCTGGACAGCATCTGGACATGGAACATTTAAAAAACGCTTGTAAACGCAAATGCTTATAAACGTTGTTGACCGCGTATACAAGCGTTTGAAACGCAGGTAAAATCTACTCCTGAATGCAAGTTTGGTGCGTTTTAAAAAAATGACTGTAAACTCAACTGCCTGTAAACGACTAAACAACATAGTGTACATGGACACATAGGAAAACATTAGGGAGAGTTCAGGGGCTGATGAAAAAAAACACTGAACAGCTCCTGAACGTCAGTTTATCAACCGCAGTGTACATGAGCCCTAAACTATATTCGCTGCGCACAAATTCCTGGAAGTACGGCTCATCAATAGAGGGTGTTGTAGCAACTACCATCTGGGACTGGAAACAACACAGGCGAACGTGTATACGTATTCGCTAGCACACCACGGATCTCGATGTGATCCTAAAAGGCCTGACGAAGGGGTTCTGCGTGGCTCCGAAACATTGCACTTTTCTTTGTGATGTAATCTTTTTGGTATAAAAACCTTTTTGGACCATATCGAGATCCGTGCTGTGCTGGAGAATATGTACATTTGACTTATAGAAAGTGCTTCAGATCTGTTGCCTGACTATTTTAAAGCGCGCTTAAGGGCCAGTTCACACTACATGCGTTTCAGTTGCTTTTTTTCTGCATCCAAAACGCACAGAAAGTAGGTTATATGGTTGTCAATGTCATAATTCATATCAGTGTTTGCAGTTCCAGTGCGTTCCGGTTGTAGAAAAAAAAAATGTAGAACATGCTGCATTTTTTCTGAACAGAACTGTACTGAAATGCGGTAAAATGCATCAGAAACACACTGAAAACACACCAAAATACTCCAAAATGCACTGGAATGCACATGTCCCTATTTAAATTGAAGAAAAAGATGAGAAAAGTAACTAGAGTGAATAAAAAAACACACTGGAATGCCGCAAAATGCTTCAAAACGCACCAAAAATGCATAAAAAATGTGCATACAGAAATGCATCCGGAACACATCTGGTCTGTGTTTCTATAGTATAAACCGGCCCTTAAAATCTAAAATTGAACCATTTAGTTAGTACCATTTAGGGCCGGTTCACATTATAGAAACGCAGTCCAGATGCATTCCGAATGCATTTTTGCATGCGCATTTTTTACGTGTTTTGGTGCGTTCCAGTGCATTTTTTTAACCCTCCAGTGCATTTTTGATGCATTCCAGTTCATTTTCCCCCCTCTCTTTTTCTTCAATTTAAGTAGGTACATGTGCATGCCAGTGCGTTTTTAATGCATTTTAGCGCGTTCCAGTACAGTTCTGTGGAGAAAAAATGCAGCCTGTTCTACTTTTTTTTCTGCAACTGGAACTGCAAGCGCTGATGTGAACTATGACATTGACAACCATATAACCTACTTTCTGTGCATTTTGGATGCAAAAAAAGCAACTGAAAAGCATGTGGTGTGAGCTGCCCCTTAAAGCGGTATTAAACTAAAAACCGAACATGTAATATATTGCAGCTCATCAGTCATTAGGAGTGGTGACTACATTAGTTTTCTTATATCAGGCTTTTGTTCCCTCTGTTTATACCTGGTGATCTGGTCAGTAACACACTTCCAATGTGCCCCCCACTCTGGGTGAAGGAGCAACAGAGATACCTTTGGACAGTAGTAGCATTGTGAGTCTGGGGGAGAGAGGAGTGTTTAATGTACTAGCAGATTTAGAAACACTAACAAGTTGAAGCCAGCTAACACTTTATAAGCAGTTACAGCAACAGTTTTTTTTTCTTTTGGAATTAATATTTTATATAAATATTTCAAAGCTGACCATTGTAAGCTCCCCTATCAATGTTAAATGATTTTTCTCAACCCTCTAACTACTGCATAACTTGTTCTGCTGAAAAACAGCAGACGTACTGGCTGGATCACCAGGTGAAAATGAAGGAAAGAAAGCATAAAAAAGAAAACTAATGCAGCCACCACATCAAAGAATTGATAAGTTGCAATATAATTAATGTTTTCTTTTGGGCATGAAGTGATTGTAAAGGCTAAAGGTAAAAAAATGCATTAAGGTAAAAAAACAAACCTTTTAGGTGCAACTTCCCCCTGGCCCCCCAAAATACCTACCTGAGCCCGTTCTAGCGCTGTGCCCAAGGGCAGCGGCACTGCTCTCTCTCTCTCCCTCCTCACTAGACTCAGTGAGAGCAGAAGGAACCATTGGCTCCTTTTGCCGTCAGTCAAAACCAGTGATGAGGGAGCAGGGGGCGTAGTCAAGCTGCACTGTGTGTGTCTATTGACTCGGGCTTCAGACTGCAAGAGTGTACTCTCAGCAAGCAGCTTGCTAGGGGGTACTTGACAGGAGGCCCAAACCCTACAAGAGGAGGATCGGGTTGCTCTGTGCAAAACCATTGCAAAGAGCAGGTAAGTATAAAATATTTGTTATTTAAAATAAAAAGATCCTTTACTAAACTCACTATTCACTAAATTCAGTTTGTGCTGAAAACAGTTGTGACCAGGGGCGGACTGACCATTTGGGAACTCGGGCACCGCCCGAGGGCCCGGGGTCAGTAGGGGGCCCCATGAGATGCCCCTGGTACCTTTTCATAGGCTTTTTTGGGTGTGGTTTGAGTGCGGCAGAGGAAACAGGGGCCCCATGATCCCCTGTTGCCCGGGGGCCCCATGAGTTGTCAGTCCACCCCTGGTTGTGACATATAACACTGAAAGCTTTAGGAAAATGACAATTTTCTACAATATTGTGTCCCCAGCCTCTAATAAGACAGCTATCTGAGCACAAACTGAAATCCTTGTTTCTGTTTGCGGATGCTCAATTTCCTTCATAACTAAGCCGCAAAAAGTTCAGCTCTTTTAATGCATGTGCTCATTGAAAAATCACAAATGTATTTGGAAATTAAGCTACTGTAAGTAAGTTAGATTGTACGCCCCTTGAGGGTTAGGGACTGATGTGAATGTACAATATATATATGTAAAGTGCTGCGTAAATTGATGGCGCTATATAAGTACCTGAAATAAATAAAAATAAATAAAATGTCTTGATATAAGCTTCCTGCAATTCCCTGTACAGCAACAATCAGAGGAGAGGGGGGCAGGTCAACTCTAGATACCAATCCAGCTGTGTTTTAGTGCATATATGTTGACAGTGAACATGCTGACAGGTAAAGCCCATTGTCCAATCAGAAGGCCAGGATTGGTCATTGACTATGCTCTGCTTCTGCTGTTGAGAATGAGGTGCTCTTTATACTGAGTTCATGCAAAACTCACAAATATGTTATTAAATATATTAAATATAAGTATTCAGATCTGCCTTGATATAAGCTTTCAGTAATACCCTAGAGAGCAACACTCAGAAAGGGCAGAGAGCCAATCAGGCTGCATTGCACTTCATGTGTGCTGGCAGTGAAAATGCTGACAGGTGGAGGCAGTAGGTAAAGCCTTCTGTCCAATCAGAAGGCCAAGGTTGGTACTTGACTATGCTGTGCGAGTATTCATTTGTCTGTTGGAATTGAAAACATTTGTTTGGTGGTAATGCACGAGGAGCCTTTTCCTTTCTGTGTGTGTTTTTTTTGCAGATCCTTAGCAGACTTTACTCCAGACTGTTTTCTCTTTGGCAGTCAGCCCCAAGCCCTCCCTGAGCTGGGACCACATTGAACTACTTGCAGACTCCAACTGGATAGCCAAGGAGGGCAGACAGTTCCTGCAGGCTGGGTCTCTCTCCAGTTCTGGAATGCAGGGAGGAGCAATCAAAGCTGCAGCCTGTGAAACCCAGAACAACAAAAAGCAATCAACCACTGGCTACAGAGAGAGACAAAAACTAAATTTTCCTAACCCTTTTAGGAACCGGCACATAAAATAACTAAATACATTGTAACAATAATATTGTTACAATGTATTTATGAATGAAGGCTGCACACACAGGGGTTTATTTACTAAAACTGGAGAGTGTAAAATCTGGTGCAGCTGTGCATGGCAGTCAATCAGCTTCTAACTTCAGCTTGTTCAATTAAACTTTGATTAAAAAAAAATGGAGGCTGATTGGTTTCTATGCAGAGCTGTACCAATTTTTACAGTATCCAATTTTAATAAATCAACCCATAGTTGGTTTTGTTTATACATGAGTTGCTTTCTGTATTTCTCCAGCAGAGTGCAAGATCTAGTTGTCAAACTGATTGCCAGTTCACTGAACATAGTGCCCGCAGCAGGGAAGGAAGACCATGGAGTGTGAAAAAAGTACTAGGTACATAAATGACATATTTTAGGGTGTACATCATACCTTCAAGGTCCACTTTAGGATAACATAGACCATACTAGGTACTAGAGTGGCACAGCTTACACTGAACTGCCAAAAGATAAAAGTTTAAAACAAGTGTTGCATATTAACAGTTTAAAGTGGCATTAATCCCAAAACCAAAAACGTAATATATTGCTGCTTACCAATCATTAAAAGTGGTGGTTGCATTAGTTTTCTTTTTTAGGCTTTTGTCCCCTCTGTATTAGAGTGCCCCCACTCTGGAATAAGTGTGTGGGGAAGGGGGTACATTTGGACAGCAGAATTGTTAATCTGGGAAAGGCCAGTGTTATATGTACTAGCAGATTTAGATACACTAACAAATTGAAGCCAAACTCCAGCTAAAACTTTATAAGTAGTTACAGCAACAGTTTTTTTTTACAAAGGTTTTACATGACTAAGTGGACTATTGTAAGCACCCCTGTCAGTGGTAAATAGTTTGTCTCAAAACTCTCACTGTTATATCTGCAGGGCAGCTTATTCTGTTTATAAAACAACAGACTTACTGGCCAGATCACCAGGTGAAAATATTATAAAGAAAGCCTAAAAAAGGAAACAAATGCAGCCGTCACATCTAAGAATCGGTAAGCTATTGGTAATATCAAATGTTTGCTTTTTGGTTTGATTTTGTACATAAGTTAAAAGTATTGTGGAATACACGTATCTGTGTTGTTCAGGTAACAAAGCATGGAATAAGCTAGATATTAACCCTCCCCCACAAATCGCACATGAAAAGTTTGACCCAACAAGACCACCTAAAAGATACATTTAAAGTGGAACTTCACTCTCTCAGTGAGAGTTTTGACATTATTTTGCAGCGGAAAAGTTTTTTTAAATTTGATGTTGGCGGTTTACTACCACTTTAGCTATATCATAATATATTTTCAAAAATGTAAAGTGTAATCCAACACCTACAGGCAGTCTGCACCATTGTTTGCCTTCAGTGTGGTACACTTATTTCATTCCCTCTCACATAGATTTCCTTGGGCATGGGCAATGTAATAATATTAAGAGATCTGTCCCAGTGACATAATATAATGTGAGCCATCTGTTCCTTGATTACAGGCTGCTGTAGGGAATGTACTCGGTAAGCTTCTGTAATGTAAATCCTGTATTTCAATCAGTATTTTTTTTATTTGTTACCTTTGGTCCACCAAAAGTATATGTAAAGCCAGAACTAATTTTCTATTAGAATGGGCAAAAGTTTAATTCCATATCCGAAGTCTCCATAACAGGGGCGGACTAACCATTTGGAAACTCAGGCACTGCCCGAGGGCCCAGGGTCAGTAGGGGGCCCCATGAGATGCCCCTGGTACCTTTTTCATAGGCTTTTTTTTTGGGCAAAGACACAGGGGCCCCATGATCCCCTATTGCCGGGGGCCCCATGAGTTGTCAGTCCGCCCCTGCTCCATAATGTGAAGACCCCTCATATTCACCTACCACCAGCACCCCAATGTTCACCCCCTCATAATTAGTCACCATTACCCCCCCATCATGTGATGCTCTCAACAAATTCATAAATTCATCCAGCAAGCTCAGCCCCCATGATTACCTTAGGGATCAGTATATGACTACATTACATTGGTGGTCAGTGTAGATCTCTCTGTTACATTGGTTGTCAGTGCAGATCTCCCTATTATATTGGTGGTCAGTGTAGATCTCCCTGTTACATTGGTGGTCAGTGTTGATCTCCCTGTTACATTGGTGGTCAGAGTAGATCTCTCTGTCATATTGGTGGTCAGTGTAGATCTCCCTGTTACATTGGTGGTCAGTGCAGATCTCGCTGTCACTCTGGTGGTCAGTTTAAAAGCATCTGTTAGATTGGTATTCAGCTTAAATGCCCCCATTATATTGGTATTGAGTGTAAATGCCCTTTTTACATTGGTAGTCAAAATAAAAGCACCTGCTGCACTGGTATTCAGTGTAAATGCCCCCATTACCTTATTAGGTATAGTAAACCATGGCATTCATGACCCTGACCATTGACATTCAATGTAGAATCCTCAGATGTATTGGTGGTCAGTGTAGTTGAACCCATTGGCTAGCGTACAACCCTGGTAGTCAGTATAAATGTCCCCCTTACAAAGGTGGTCAGGGTTGAGTCTCCCATTACAATGGTAGCCAGGGTAGAAACTCATATGATGGGGTGACATTTATACTGAAGGCGTTTATTGGAAATTGCAATACATTTGACAAGCCAACGTATTTCAGGGGAACAGAGACTTCTCCCTCTTCAGGGCTGTCCCTGTATGCTAATAAATGAGGAAGAATCCCAAACAGGTGGTCTATAGCACAAAGATCAAACAGATGTATGTTTGAGTGTTGGCTGTGCTCATCGAGGCAATGTCAAGAGCCTCAATGCTGCCACAGCAAGCAGAGCTAGCATTCAGACATACATCCCCGTTTTTTAGCATACAGGAACATCCCTGAAGAAGGGGGAGTCTCTGTTCCCCGAAACATGTTGGATTGTCAAATTTGTTGTAATTTCCAAGCTCATCTTCCAACTTATATTTGCTGGACAGCGTGTGTGTTTTCCACATACTCTTCCTAGTTTGCATGTGGAAATGACCTTAAGGCCTACCCAGAGGCAGCAGTCCGGGTCCAAAAAGGGGGCTTACCATCACCCTCTTGCAAGTTGGGCACAAATCATTGGAAGGGAAGCCTTCTCACTCGCCCACTTCCCCACCCACCCATGATCAATGGCTGATTGAGTCAGTCCAGCATGGTCTTCAACCCTTACACAGTGATTTAAAAGGGATTTTAAACTGACCACCAATATAACATGGATGTTTATGTTATCCACCAATATAACAATGGAATTCTGTCCACCAATGCCCCTGACACAATAGTGGCCCATGTAATTACAGTGGTGGTTAGTATAGAGTCCCCTTACACTTGGTGACCAGTACAAATACTGATATTGGTGGTCAATGGAAAAAGCCTGGCTGGAGATGGAGATGATTGAAGACGTGGGGGAGATGTGCCACCCTACTGCTTTAGGCCAACTGTGTTTTGCTGCTTTTTCCTACCTTAGTGCCTGGCTATTTATCATACTGTACAAGACATACCGAGAATGGGAACAAGACAGGCCCAAAGACATAGGTTCAGTATGCCTACTGTAGACATAATAAAGTAGAGAAAATCGTCTCTGTGTTCTGCTATCAGTCTGGTTCTGGGTGCATGGATCTGGTCAGCAATACGATGTGTGGGTGGTTTGCAGCCTTGCCATCCTAAGCCATGGCCTATTTTGGCATTGCAGATATCCAGTCTGGGCACAAGAGGCTCTTCTAAGACCCTAATCTACTTGTTACAATTGATTCATCCTCATGTAACAAGCAATCCCCACGGAGAAGGCACCAACACAAATCATATTAGGCAGTTAATCAGTGTTTGGATTTTTGTGTCTTTTTATTTAGAAAACACTAGATCTGTAAGAACTGTGTTGGAATACACTGTCTTTTTTATGCATAAACACTGCCGTCTGCCTCATCAGTTGGCAAACACAAGACAGAACATACAAGTGGGCAAATGATAATACCACATACTAATGGGTGTTATTAAAAATATTTTTTTCAAACAGAAAATTAGCAATGCAATAGAAAGGGGGTTGACAAAATATATTTAAATCTCCCATAGACTTTGAAGTATACATTTTTAAAGCTGAACTCTAGGATAAGCAAATATCAACCAAATACAAAAGCCACATATATTTTTACTTTGAAGTGCTGTGCATTTCTTCCACATATGTACAGTATGTCCAGTGTGAAATGTTGAATCTGTGTAGGAACTTCCAGCAATAAAGACTGGTCACTGCTGCTCTCTTTCCTTGTGCAGGGTGATTGGTCTGGTCTCCGCCCATTCCTGTAGTTTTCTGCAGGTACCCTGTAGTGGGTAGGACTTCTGGTTCTCTCCCACAGCTCTGCTCTCTGCAGAGGCTCCCTGCAGCAGTGTGACAATGTCACTGCTACATTTACAAGATAATAACTGGCTTTGCAAAGGCATTCGGCGCACACAAAATGGATTTACATCCTTTTCAGCTAATGAAAAAAATATTTAAATAAAAAAGTTGTGTGCTTTCAGCTTTAACTTTAGTATATTATTACTTAGGTAATATCTGGCTTTGCAAAGGCATTTGGTGCACACATAGTAAAAATATATCTTTTGTAGCTATTGAGGGATCGTTTTACATGAGCCTTTTTGTGCCCAGAGTTCAGATTTAGGCCTCATGCACACTAGGCATTTGCCCAGCACTCCTGAACGTCTTTCAACTGGCAGTTGTAAAGCAGCGCATCAAAATGTCCCTAAAGCTGCATTTTTGTAAACCGGTTTAGGCGCGTTAAGAGACATTTAGGAGCATCAAGTGCTTGCGTGTAAATTAATTTAATTGGCCATAATAATAATTTATTCTGGCCATGAAAACGAATTACCGCTCAACCACTTATCGTGCCTAATGTTAACATCCGTTTAGATCAGGGGTTAAAATTTCGAGTCCAGACCTACTAGCGGGTCACAAAACTTACTCTCCATCAGTTGCCCCACCCAACCTTGCCCAGATCTGCCCCCAGCCCCACCCCCGGCCTGCCCCAACCCCCACCCCCAACTCGCCCCAACCACGCCCCCTTAAAGCTTATGAAATTACATTTTTCTTTAGAATAAGTTCCAAAATATAAAACTGTACACAGTAATGTATATCCCAGCTCCCCTGTACTCCATTATAGTGATATGACGTGTATACAGCAATGTATATCCCAGCTCCCATGTACTCCATTATAGTGAATACATGTATACAGTAATGTATATCCCAGCTCTCCTGTACTCCATTATAGTGATATGACATGTATACAGTAATGTATATCCCAGCTCCCCTGTACTCCATTATAGTGATATGACATGTATACAGTAATGTATATCCCAGCTCCCCTGTACTCCATTATAGTGATATGACATGTATACAGTAATGTATATCCCAGCTCTCCTGTACTCCATTATAGTGATATGACATGTACACAGTAATGTATATCCCAGCTCCCCTGTACTCCATTATAGTGATATGACATGTATACAGTAATGTATATCCCAGCTCCCCTGTACTCCATTATAGTGATATGACATGTATACAGCAATGTATATCCCAGCTCCCCTGTACTCCATTATAGTGATATACATGTATACAGTAATGTATATCCCAGCTCTCCTGTACTCCATTATAGTGATATGACATGTATACAGTAATGTATATCCCAGCTCCCCTGTACTCCATTATAGTGATATGACATGTGTACAGCAATGTATATCCCAGCTCCCCTGTACTCCATTATAGTGATATGACATGTGTACAGTAATGTATATCCCAGCTCCCCTGTACTCCATTATAGTGAATACATGTATACAGTAATGTATATCCCCCCTCCCCTGTACTCCATTATAGTGATATGACATGTATACAGTAATGTATATCCCAGCACCCCTGTACTCCATTATAGTGATATGACATGTATACAGTAATGTATATCCCAGCACCCCTGTACTCCATTATAGTGATATGACATGTATACAGTAATGTATATCCCCCCTCCCCTGTACTCCATTATAGTGATATGACATGTACACAGTAATGTATATCCCAGCTCCCCTGTACTCCATTATAGTGATATGACATGTATACAGTAATGTGTATCCCAGCTCCCCTGTACTCCATTATAGTGATATGACATGTATACAGTAATGTATATCCCAGCTTCCCTGTACTCCATTATAGTGATATGACATGTATACAGTAATGTATATCCCAGCTCCCCTGTACTCCATTATAGTGATATGACATGTATACAGTAATGTATATCCCAGCTCCCCTGTACGCCATTAAAGTGATGACATGTACACAGTAATGTATATCCCAGCTCCCCTGTACTCCATTATAGTGATAGGACATGTTGTATACAGTACTTACTCCTAATCCCTCTGAGTCCCCCACGGTGGTGGAGAGGGTGTCTCCTCTCAGCGGAGGAGAGCGGACCTCTCCTGCACTTGTCCCCTTGGTGGCGGTGCCGCCGCAGAAGCCGGAGACCGAAAGTTGTAAACCAGAACTCAGCTTCACAATGAGGCTTGGAGCGCAGGTGCAGTCGCTCCATGCTTCATCTGTGCTCACCGCTCAACACAGAGGAATTCTCCTCGCATTTGGCGAGTGGGCAAGAGGCTTTTTCAAGCCCTGGTTTAGATGCATTTACACTCATTTAGGTGTGTCAAGCATTTTTTCTGACAAAACACTGCTGCTTCTGAATGCACTGGCAGTGAGTTTGTTTTGCTTCCAAATGCCTGTAAACACCAATGTGCTTACAGGCATTGAGGGGCATTTACAATTAGTAAAAAAAAACACAAACACCCCA